GGAACAGTCCGATACAGCCTGATACACTTGATTTTTTTGGGTGCCCTTCATTCATTAATCTCTTTAATTACTTCTATATTTAATTCTAACTTTTCTTTCGTTAATTAGGCAATTACTCCTACTTTAAATTTGAATTTTAGCGCCTAATTCAAATTCTCTTATTAATTGTGCTAATTAATGACCTTGTCTCATTAATTTCGTTTTGTTAGTATAAAAACTACAGACTTTAAACAATTGGCAAGATTCAAACCTTAGTCACTAGGTTTTACCAATAGTATGTCACCACTAGGCCATGCCCATTTGTTTGTTATGGTGATATGCATTATTATTTTTAAGTAAAATTTCTCTTTTCTTAATGGATATTTATTAGTAAATGCTAGAATTAATTATTAAAATTTATATACTAATAAATACTAATATAAAGTGATGTACACATGTAACATTTATATTGGTTATTTGAAAATTGATGTATACACATTCATATTTTAGTTTTTTTTTTGTTCTCACATTTTATTTATTCCATCATTTATCAGCAGTTATTAATTGTAATTATTTACAATTAATTGATTGTAAATATGGATTTTTACATTTACATAACTTATTTACAATCATTTAAAACTTGTAATTATAGTTAATAATATATATTTTTAGGATATATTTGAATTTTCTAACATATTTATGTGTATTTTAATTTTTGGTTTGTATCTATGTGACTATGCGTATCCAAAGTGTATCCCGATACGTCTCTTAAAATTGTCTTTCTGATACACCTTGCGTTTCCGATACTTTGAACCTTGTAGGCATGTTTAACTTCAATTAATTCAGGACATCATTCTAAGACATCCAAAATGATAGGACTGTAAATGGTATTTGTCTGAATTTAAATTTGAATTTGATCTGGTTAAGGGTGATCTGAATTTGATTCTATTATATTTGTGTATAGTATGGATCCACCCCTATCCTATGTGATAAGTCTGATATGATCAGATTCGATTTTATATATTCTATTTTACTGCAATTGGCTTGAATGTTGTATTTTTACGTTATAGGTTCAAGTTTCATACAAGTTATTTTTAATTCATTTTGTTCATGACATACAATATCGAAGTCATTTTAGTTTGTTATTAATGATATTAGGATTTATTAAAAGCTACCCTTAGTTTACGTTTTACTAAAAACTCCTCTTATAGTTTGAAACTGATCTACTTAACCTTTTATCAAGAATCTTTTATATTGCTGTCTGGAAAAGTTTACTTGACCACCTATACTGAGTGAGAAATGTTTAAAGGCATGGGCTTATGGTATTTTATTTTGAAAATACCCCTAACACTTCGTATAGGACTTTTAAAATGATCTATTGTTTGATTTTCAAATCTACTACACTATTTGGTTTCAGCGGAATGAAGAGAACAGTGCATTAAAGGTTATTAATTTGCAACAGCATGTCTTCCTTCTTCAAATAGAGAATAAAATTGATTAAAAAAGTTGTTGCCCATGTTTTATTAGGGGCAAGAGTGACATTTCCATTTATATTCTATGTAGATTAAATTGGTCCAAACAGATACTAAGGCTAAAACTGTCATTTTCCACTTAAATCTGAAGGATGGTTGATTAGGAAAATCGGTTGCAAACTATAAGGGATGTTTTAGTAAAACACAAACTACAAGGTAGGTTTTAGTAAATCCATTAAACTACAGGGGGTGTTTTAGTAAATGACCCTATGATATTCAATATCTAAATACAATTTGAATTCAGATAAAAACCTGATGGATAAGATTCAATTTGAGTCTGAATACTAATGAATCAAATTTGGATCTATGTATATTCAATGCAATCCCGATCTCCGTTTGCAGCCCTACAAAATGATACCTTTTGTTGTCTACATGAATTAATTGTAGCTTTTCCATGCTAATGCAATCCTACTTGTAGCTTTTCCAGTCAGTAATCTCTGTTTAATCCAACATTGAGGTTGTGTTTGAACAGGTGTATGGACCTTCCAACGACTACCAAAGCAAACTGGATTTTTTCCCCAGCATCGCCAATGCCTTTTCTGATGCTGCAAGATTGCCTAGGGAAGAAGCAAAATCAGCAATTCAACATGAGATATGGAGGGTTGCCAGAGCTGTTCGAAGGGCTGCTAGTGCTCTGAAAGGAGAACTTACTTGAAAAAGATGATGCAAAAGAAAGATATCTGTCGATATGTAAATACTCCAGGATTAAAAGGTCTTTCCTCAAATTTTTCTCAACACCAAAAGGGATATGGTTCTTGGAATTCCAGTCCCAGAGAATGTAGGCACGTTATGTCTCCGCTTCCTTTTTAATGTTCAAATTTTGTCCCCAAAATGATGGAATTATGAAGGTAAAGGAAAAGAAAAGAATGGAAATAAGAAAGTATCCAACTTTATACTATTTCGGTGCTTGAGCTTTGAAGGATTGCCATTACAGTCAAGTTCTATGCAATGTTGTCAGATTCGGTTGCCTCTTGCCAACCAGCCTAGATGATGATGATGATAACTAGAGACAGTTCATAAAAAGTGGCCTAAAAATATAAACTTAAAGCCAATACTATCTTATTCCATTCTTGTAGTATAGCTGGGGCTTAAAAATCCATCCTAACCATCGTGGGAGAAGCTTAGAGCAAATGAGTTTCCGAGGGATGGCAATTGTCAAAACAAATTTCTTATTTAAAAACTCTAAAGATAAAATATGATGACAAATATTAATTTTTTGATATTTAGGCCAAGTTTGGGAGTGCTTAAGATAAAAATAAGTGCTTAAAAACAAGTGCTTATTCGAATAAGCACTTATTTGCATTTGACACCCAACTTTTTTAAAATAAGCACTTATTTTATATTGGGTGTTTGGTAGTATTTTTTCTAATAAGCACTTAAGTAAACATTTGTGATTATTTTCTCCTTCATTTACTTTTATAAAAGTACATTTATGAAAGTACTTTTACGAAAGTACTTTTATAAAAGAACTTTTACGAAAGCACTTTAAGAAAGTATTTTTATGAAAGCTTTTTTAAGAAAGTGTCCGTATGAAAGTACTTTTATACAAACACTTTTATGAAATCACTTTTATAAAAATACTTTTGTAAATAGAATGGGTCAAAAATGGCCTTTTGATGCTACTTCTCAAGAATTGAGCTCATAGAGTCATGCATCTACTTAGACAAGATAGGGAATAAAAATCATGAGTAGGAAAATGGGTATTTTAGATGAGAGTTTCAGACTTTGATAATTGTAGTTTTTTTTTTTTTTGTAAACTAGTAATGCATTAAACGGGCAAAAGAAACTGAATTACAAAGTAGGGTGGAAATCCACCAGGTTGGCTAGCCATAGCGGCATAGCTTTTGAGAAGACCCCTGAGTCTGAGAGACCATTTTTTGCTAAATTATGGGCCAGCATATTTTTTTCTGATAGCTATGATTATAACCCTAGCAAGTGCACTAGTTATCAAGTAGTATAAAAATATCGTTCCCACGAGGATTTAACAAAATAAGTATTAGAACTATAGCCTTCCCTAATTATTTGGACAATCGAATTTCAGATTTAAGTGCAAAAGCTATTGAAAAGCAGAAAAAGAAAACAAGAGCAGAAGTAACCAATGTTGAAGTATGTAACGATTGATTGA